GGGCGAGTACTATAGAGTACAGACTGAAAACCATCTCTTTCTGAGCATAAATTTAAGCACTTGTTTGTTCGGTTGGTGGTTGATTATGAAATTAATTTGGACTTGGACCAACAATATGCTGTCCACTGGGGCAGGCTGCTCTTTTGATATGTGAACGAAAATTAACGTTGAAAAGTTTTTCTTTTTAATTAAGGATGTGATAAGAACTTTGTTTGTTTGGCCATAGTGAAATGTCTAGATAGGAAAGGCTAATTCTCAATGTTCATATAGTTAGATACTCGCTAAATTTCAAGTTTTGAAAGTGACATTGATGGTATGTGTTATTTTGGGGACTTCATTTGTCCCTAGTTGGGATCTTGGATGTGACTCATCCCAGTTTATTTGAACCAAGTTGCATCCTTGCAAAGATATTAAAAGAGTGAAATAATTCTGAGATAGTAGTTTTTCTGTTCTCTACATTAATCTCTATTTCTCACTGGGAGAATTTTATTATTGAGAAGAATACAATAGATCTTGCAATCTGAACTTTTATGCTTCATTTTTCTTGAACGTTACAAAATTTATGTGATTTTTTAATTTCCCCCATTCTCTGGTTTGATATACAAGTACCTCTCTTGCAGGAAGCCAAAGACTGTTGATGAAATACTTAAAATAGATATCAAGCCTGGCTGGAAGAAGGGCACAAAAATTACTTTTCCTGAAAAAGGAAACCATGAACCTGGGGTTATGCCAGCTGATCTTATTTTTGTGGTGGATGAGAAACCCCATGCGGTTTTCAAGAGGGATGGAAATGATCTTATTGTCAAACAGAAAATCTCACTCCTGGATGCACTTACTGGCCATACACGTAACTTTACAACCTTAGATGGAAGAACTCTCACAATCCCAGTTATGGATATTGTGAAACCAGGTCAACAAGTGGTGATCCCAAACGAAGGAATGCCCGTCTCAAAAGAACCCAGCAAGAAGGGAAAGCTTATAATCAAGTTTGATGTTATCTTTCCATCAAGGCTCACTGCAGAACAGAAGTCGGATTTGAGGAGAGTGTTGGGTTGAGCTGAAGAGTAGTTCCCCTTCACACCTGAGGTAACAACCATCTGTTAATGCTGATTTGTGTTATGGTGCAACTGAAGTCAATGTAAATAAGTTTTCTACACTACTAAAGAGCAAAATTGTGCATAGTAGGAACAGAGTTTGGTGGGTTGTAAGCAGTGTTGATAGTGTGAAGTAGCAAGGGAAAACTTTCTCAACCTCAGGTTTTACCCCATCTGCTTCAGTACTCTAATTGAAATCTGTACACTAGTAATTCGAGGGTAATCTTCCAGTGTTGATATTACAGAGACCTTCTGTACTATATGTTTTGGAAATGAAGTTTAAGTTATTGCCTGTTTTAAACTCACAATAGCAGTTTACTTTTATTATGTACCTAGAAAATACAGAGGTCTTTGATGGCATGCTCTGAAACTTAGGATTACAAGAATGAAACAAAAATTGACGTTACGAATACTGAAAAAAAAGGCTTCTCACCCAGATTACATAAACTTTGACAAATTTCAAAACAAGTAAATCTTATTTTCTGGATGTGGCCATTTGTCATAGAAGCATCCATCTTCAGGAACTTTCTCCTTAAACCCTGTGTTTCTCAATCTTCCTCTCCAGCTCATCCTTTTGTGCTCCTACAACCCTGTCAATTTCTTTCCCTTTCTTCAGGAAAACATAAGCTGGCATCGTATCAACCCCGAATGAGCGAGCCACATCCTGTTTCATTCATACGGTATTCATTTTCATTAAAAAAAAAAAAGACATGAAAGTTCAAAAATCATGCAGCACTCAAGAACTGAGATTGGAATATTTACATCCAACGTATCCACATCAATCTTGATGAACTGAACATCATTGTATTTGGCAGCACAGTCTTCGACCACAGGTTCCATACGCTTACAGGGTCCACACCATGTTGCCGTGAAATCAATCACCAACTTCAGCATCAAAACAAAATTTTGTCATTAATTTTCCCCATCAATCATATATAACTTAAAACCCTTAAGGGGTGGCGACTCAAGTAGTTAATAATTTGAAATTTTAATTTAAAATTTTTAAATTCAAATTTTGAATCAAATGAAAAAAAATTTTTAAAAAAAAATTATCTTTCTCTATACAGTCTATCATTAAATATATTAAAAAACTCATATATAACTTGAAAGTGGAGTGCAATACTTACCAGCTTGTTAGAAAACTTAAAGGCGTCAAACTGGGCTCTCCACTGGCTCTTAGTTTGGCATTCCGGAACGAGAGGAATGGATCCACCAGCTCCCATCTTTCTGTTGTTCTTGCAAAACCCACACAAGCTCTGAAGAAAATGCTTTGAGTTGGGAATTAGGAGATGGCTGAAGGGGGTTTAAATAAGGCTGGAAAACGTGGTGGTGCCATATTTCTCTACTATGATATTCTATTAAGGTATATATTCTTCCTCCTTGATGTGATCGGCTTTCATGAGTTGATGGGTCGAAGATTATTCATTTATTCTTACTAGAAGTAAAATAAGCTAAATAAAATAGATGATGAAGTCTTCTAGATTTTTGGCACAATTTTGGAAATATTTGATACCTAATGGTGCTCATGTCACCTGACTTACTGAATAATTTTTCCGTTGTTAAAGTTGATAGTTGATACCTAACAAAAAGTGATATATTTGTAGAGGTAACAATTATTAATAATTCAAGTTTTTAAAATTATAAAATTCTTGATACGGAGAATAAGAGATTTAAAAATTAGAGAGATACCTCTTACTGTCTATGGATTTTGGTTGTATCAAGCTACAGAAAGACAAAAGAGAGCAGGAAACTCTCAGCCATTCGTACACAAAAGCATCTTATTCATTGTGTAATCTGTGCTAAATTATTCAATGTAGTTGCGGTTCATATGTAGAAATTAATAAGCATCTGCTTTTATGGTTGGTCCCAATAATTCTGAAAGCTTGAAATAGTGAGCATTTCATCACCACTTGCGCCATTTATATTCTTCAAGAGTTCAGAATGAAATGTTAATGAATGATCATCGTTGAATACCTTACGGTCCTTACCAATTCCAGTTGTATCCAGGCAAGCACCGGTAGAAACAAGTCCCACAGGAATTCCAGCATTCAAGCATCTGGTGTCCCCTTATCTTTTCTTATTTATTTATTTATTTATTTTTAATTTTGAGTTAAAAAGATTATGCCATCCATAAAGCTTCATTTGTACCATATGTAAAAGTAGACTCTTGAAGCCAAAAAGCAACTTACTACTTTATGAAGTTTTGAGAGGTAATTTTTTTTTATTTCTTAATTCATATATTATGTAATTTGAATTTAGAATATTTTATTTTTAACAAAAAAAAAATTTATTGAATTATTTAGATTATTGACCTCTTTTATCTTTTTAACTAAACGTATGATTGTGTAGTAAACAAAAAAAATAGTTACAAATTAGATACCTCCAATTTAGAGTCCCATCTTAATTGCTGAGACGTTGAGACATCTTGAGATTACAGATAGCACAAGGTAACAAGGATCATCATTTACACAAGTATTGTTAGAAAAAACTTGTGAACTCGAATATCAACTGAGCATTTAACTTAAAGTTAATTAGTAATATGTAAACATGTACTCTCTACTTGTGTTTATCTACATATTATTTCTAATATTTAAAGGTTTTTTTAGTTTTACTAATTCTATCAATTTATAATTTTTTTCTTAAATAATTGAGTAGGGTGTTTAGAAATATTAATTTATAAGATAATTGTAAACTGATATCAATTGTTTTATTATTTATTAACTAAAAATTACAATTATAATTAATTATTTTAAATAGTTAAATTAAATGTAAGTTACTTTTAACTTATCAACTTATATGAGTTTAACTTAATTTCTTTAAATATATGGAGTTTATGTTAGAGATATATCTATAAAATCATATGAAAATAGAGTGAAAGCTATTTCAAAAGCGAAAACTATTTCGAGAACACTTTAACTATAAATACTAAAAGAAATCATCCTATGTGATTTAACCTATACTAATAAATAAATAAATATGAACGGTGACCTAAAAACATTTAAATACTTAGGGACGAAGGAATGCAATATAATAATATTATTAAAGTTGACAAATTTTCTTTCAGCTAATCAGCATGAAATTCTCCGCACTAAAAACAGGCATCAACCTGTTGCACTGCGCACCAAAGGTTCCGTAAAGTTAAAACCCTCCTTGCATCATGCCGACCCCCTTGGCACCACTTTGAAACAACAAACCTGTAAAAAAAATGACGGAAAGTCGACTCCTTTGCGAAAAGTAGAAGATTTTTTTGGTAGTAATTTTTTTTAAATAGTTTTTTTTTTCAATTTAAGCAATAAATTTTTTTAATATGTATTTTTAAAATGTAAATTAAGAATTTTTTAAAAAATAAAAAATAATATTTAATTTATTAATTATCTAATTAAATTTATTTACATAATAATAACATTGAAATTAATTTTTATTTTTTATATAAATTTATAATAAAAATACTTTTAATCTGTATTTTAAAAATACATATTAAAAAAATTTTAAAATAATATATTTTTATCAATTTAAATTATAAAATTTTTTTATCTTGTACTATTTGATATACGTTAAGATTGTAATAAATACATTATTTTATAATTAATTTACATAAAAATTAATAAAAATTAATTTAAATTTAATTAATTAATTAAAACTAATCACGTAACATTAATACTAAAATAAAAGTTAAATTTTATTATTTTTCTGTGTAAATTAATTATAAAAATATATATATTTAATACATTTTTAACATACATCTTTAAATCACAAATTGGACAAATCTTAACAAAAATATCCTTCATTAGATTTCATCATTTTTTCGGGAAAAAAAAAAAAAAAAGAGAAAGAGTCAATGTCGAAAAAGACATTTCTGAATTTTTTATTGGTGAATGAAAAGGTAAGTTAAGATGGAAATTGGAAAAGCACTCCACAAATTCTGCAACCATTAAAGGGCCCGTCGCCCTTAAATTTGTCAAAGACACCCAACCAGTTAAAATTTTATTTTAATTCAATTATTAAAAATAATTAATATTTATTATTTAAAAAAATTAAATTTATTTTATAAACAAATATTTTTAAATATTATAATTGAGTATTTAAAAAAACTACTAAATAATAAAATTACAAACACAATAGGTGACTTTAACAAAATAAAATATGACAATAATTTCAACCCATCAAAGGGATAATATTGAGCACCATCTCATATTTATTTATATAAAAGTAAAAATTAAGAGCCTTAACATTAAAAATATTAAAATACATTCAACTCTAACTATATAATAAATAAAATTAAGGTAAAATATATATTATATCTTACATATTATTTAATTTTAATAAAAGAATTTTCTAACTTATATCCTTATAGTATAAGTTAAACTTTACTAAATGTAATATTTTAAATTAATTTTATATAAATTTTTATATCATATTTAATTAAAATAAAATATAAAATGTAAAATATAATATAATATTTATACTCAAATTTTATAAAAATATATAAATTTGATATGAAAATTTGTATAAAATTAGTTATAAATTTTGTAATTAATAAGGTTTAACTTATGTCCTTAAAACACGAATTAAACAAATTTTTTAATTAAATATCTTAATATTTTGTAATACTAGAATATCTTAATTTCCACATGTTGATTTATTTATTGGTTTGAATTCGACACCCATTAAGGGGTTGATATTCGTTCCATGCTTTGCTGTAACCGATGTTTATTTAATACCAATTACTTGTTAGTTTAAGTGAAAAAAACTTGATTTCTTTCGAGTAAGATCTTAAATTTGAATATTGTGAATGGAGAAATAAGTGCTGAAAGAATTTTTCTCCTGATAAGATCTGATGCAATTCGATTCTGAATTAGTTGATACTCAATACCGGGAGATTAATGAGAAAAAAAAAACGTTGTATATTTAATGAAGGGTGCACACAGAATCGAACTTCTTTAGAAGTTGTCTATTTAACGAAGGATGCACCGTGCACGCCGAATCGATCCTCGATAGAATGATACGACGTAGAAGTCTGCATGACTCAACCTTCTATTCACGGATACAAATTGTCTCCCTCTTTTCCGGTTCGTTTTCCCCATTAACTCAGATGCTTGGTCTATTTTTAATAATCGGAAATCGGTCTGAAGAGTAGACAAAATGGTTTAATCACCAACATACACTTAATAACAATAGAATGTAAAGACCCTTATCATAAACCATCTTTGTCATGATATAGGATAGGGAGTGCCAAATGATGGAGGGTAGAAGATAAAGTCACAAAAGAAGAAGCAAAATGTAGGGAAGAACTGGATGTTGAGTTGAACCATGATGTTCCATTGTTACTGAACCACTTTCCAATGTTTTTGACAGAATACTAACTACAAAAATAAGGTGTCCGAGAAATGGTGCAATGTCAAAATGGATTGATAGCATTAAAAGCATGTTCTTGGAAGGAAAAATGAAAAACATTGTCACCACCCACATGAGCCAGTGAACAGACACCCTATAAACACTAGGTGAGTAGAGGTGTTATGAGGCCACACCAACATCAGCTGCAGCATGACCACCTTGGATTCCTGAGCTGTGGTGGTTGTAAGCATGCCCGCCACCTCTGCCACCCCTTCCCCTACTGTTATAGTTGTTCCTGGGCTGGTAGTTTCCAGGTTGATCATAATATTGGCTACGGCCATTTTGGTAGGCTCCACCTCCCCTTCCACCTCGACCACCACGACCATTGGAATATCCCCTACGGCCACCTCCACCACCACGAACTCCTCTTTGATTCTGATAGGGTCTTCGGGGAAAATACTGTTGTTCCTTGTGCTCTGTATCTGTCTGATTATGCTCCATCTCTGTCCGCATTTTGCTTTGTTCTTGCTCTTGTTGAGCTGGGATGACCTCTGCATGATTTTCTGTCTCCAGATCATCCTGCATCAGACAAGCTTCTTCACATTCAATCAAATGAAAAAGAAGGTTCATAAAACAAAAACAGTATTTGGCCAACTAAAAGCACCTTCTGAAGGTCCTCAGGAGGACCAGATTGATCATCACCAGTCTCAGGTTCATGATAGCTTGCTGTCTCTTCTTCCTGCTAGAAATATAAGGACTATTAATCGCACTGTGAAAGATAATTCTACTAGATGTCATAAACTTAAGAAGGTAGAAGTAAAAAAAGAAGAAGAAGAAGAAGAATGAACGGACTCAATACTAAGAGAGAGAAGCAAAAGTCAGGTCTCTATTCTCAGTACTACTAATTTATTTACAGGCTTCTATGTGGACAACCTCAAAAACTTGACTGACAATAAGAAATACAGTGGGTAGGGACCCTCCCAGCATCCCTCTGTGCATGTCAGAGAGACCAACAAACTGCTCAGCTTCCATCCACAAAACCCTCTTACACTACTTTTACTTTTAAGATAAATAGTTTGCATCGGAGCTGAGATATATTTTCAAAAGTCTTGAGAAAAACAAAAACAAGTTCTCTCTGCAATCCCCACTAACAACTTCAATGTCTGCTAAGATGTTCAAGTTTTATTTTCTTTATTAATCTATCATAAGTAAATCATAAGCAATGCAAAGAGGAAATGATTAAGATCCTCACAACAATGATAGAAGTTAAAAAAATAATAATAATGAGTTATGGGTCCTGATTCTAAGGAAAGGAAGACCAGAGACAAATCATACTCCCTCCATAAAATGGATGCACAAGTTTCTTTTACATTACATCACCCCTTTTAGCACCTCCTAATTTTCAAACCTAGGCTTAGTTTGGAAGTATCACCCTGTAGCTGTAGCTATAGGTTTTTTGGTCTTTTAGTATTGTAAAAGTATATAAAATATATTTAATAGTTATTTTAATTAATATTTTATATATTTTTAGGATAATACAAAGACAAAAAAACTAAAAGCTAAAGCAACTAAGAAGCATTTCCAAATGAAGCCTTAGTAAGATAGTTTGCTTCAAATGACACTGAACATAATTAAAGATCGTGACAATTTTCATGACTATAAAACAATAAATTATTAATCAATAAAGAGAGGTCTCATACAAAGTTAATGAACAAGAATTCATAATGTGCAAAACAATCAAACCATCACCGACAAGGATTAAGATAAATAAGAGTTCAATAGAGTTGCAGCATATGGAACATCAAAAGGGTAGTAAAGAAGTCAATAGAGGATTGCCAAGATGAGAGACAACATTTATTTTAGAGGCAGATGCATATAAAGTAGAACAGAGACAACAATGATATTGAGAGTGAGAGTGTTACAGTGGGAAAAATCTTACAAGGCAATATGTTAAGAGTATTGAGAAAATAAACAACAGAAAATAATTTCTATGATATTTAAGAGTCTGAGAACAACTACTAATGATCTAAAGCTTTGCTCCCTTCTGGAAGGAAGTATAAATACTTGAGAATATGCCAAATTTCAGCAACAGATGCCATCATTCACTATCTCATCAATTTCTCTTAAACTTAATCATGCTCTGCAGGGCAGAACTGCAAATTTCTACAGATCAGTTTGGTAAAGAATTCTCCTTGGACTTCAACAGTTCAACTTCCATATAAAAGCAGGAAATTGAAGACACATTCTACCATATAAATGCACGGCTAAAGATATCAACAGCCCATAGTTATAGATAATAACAGACTGTCACAATTTTCTTGTTAAAAAACTTCCAATTTGTATCATTTCCCTAAGACCTGCAAATAAAATCTCAAACCCAATCATGCCAAAACATACATCAAAAAGGAAACATCATCTCCACTAGCATTAAACTAAAGCATTCAATCAAGAGCTTAATATACGGCATCCAATAAAACAATGTAGTGATCATCTCATTCATTGTAAATAAACGAAAAGGTTTAACCAAAGGGCGATGCAACAGGCAATCAAATTTGCATATGAAACACAAATGGGCTAGTAAAATTTCACCCGGACTATAATCACTTAAAGATAGAGACAAAACCAAATCACTAGAGGCCAATTTGCAAGCTTATTGAACTTGTACCTTTTGCAGGTATTGCTCAGCTGAACCTTCCACCTGGACGGGCACTGACACTGGTACTCCAGGCACAGGAACCTGGAAAGGTACATAATTTCCAGCAGTGGCCGCAGCCACCACTTCAACTGGAACCTTCATCTCCGGAGTGGTTGTGAAATAATCTGAAGCCAAAATCTTGTGGACCCTTTCTCTCAACCCAGCATCTGCAACCAAACGTTAAAGTCAAAAAGAAAACATATGCACAGACAAACAAAACCCAGAAATCTAATACGCAGAGCATTACAAGTAACACTAGCATTGGGCTCAATGGGTTCGTTTGAATTAGCGAGCCACAGCTTGGCATGATGGATGCACCGCTGCAATGCGTTCTTGTGAGACAAGCTGGAGTCGACTGGGCGCGAAATCAAGAGCCCACCCAGCATCGAAATCAAATCCAAATCTCTCTCGCCCAGCGGAACCGTATCGTCATCGGTAACATAGTCGTAGGTCAAGCAGCATCCCCGCTCGTGGGTCCTGGTCAATATTGTGGAAGTAAAATCATTCTGCGACTTCACATCGAACAACGACCCAAAGTAGAGCAGATTGAGGAGATCCTCGACAGCATGATCGGGCTCGTGCGGTTCTTCCTCAGTAGGTTTCTCTTGGTCTTGACAAGCCGCATCATCTGCAGAAATGGCGTCCTGTTGACGGGCAAGAGAGATTTCTTCGGAGACGGCAGAGGCGAGCGGATTACGGAGCTTCTCGAGCTCGTCGATGAGGGCGGAGACGGCGGGTTTGGAGCGAAGGACTTCTTCCTGCTCTTTGTTGAGAGGCTTGCCCTGGGAGAGAGACTCTTCCATCTGGAGAATTCGGTTCAATTTCTTGCGAAGGCCTCGGATGCGTTTGTTGATGAGACTGAGTACAGGGCCATCTGAAGCGGTGGCAGTGGCGTCGGAAGAAGATGCTGCAGCAGCCATATCCAGGGGAATGGGTGTTTCACTGATCGGAAGAGGGAGACACCGCCGCGAGGGGATGCCGGAGAAAGAGGGAGCGGCGGAGGGGGGATTTTGGAGAGAGTAGAAATGAGGATTGAGATGGGTTCTGAGAGGTTTAAGAGGGAAGGGAAAAAGAATTTTCTCACGTAATTTTTTTTTTTTTAACCCAAAAAACATTGTTTTTAATTAGGAGTTTTTCTTTTCTTTTCTTTTCTTTAGTGCAAACAATGTAAAATTGAAATTAAATTTTGGAGAGGCCTTAAAATTTTTTGCTTAGCTACGAAGCCAAAATAATTTAATTTTTAAAAAAGAGTTGTGCAAGTTGAATTCCAATTACATGACAACTTAAAATATTAAATAAAAGTATACTAATAATTATTTTTCATTCCATGTTCTTAATTAATAGATTGAATTATAAAATTTAAAACCCTTTAATTTTTCTTTTTTCACATAATTATATAAGTGAAATACTATATTACTTTTATATAGAAATGCTTTATAAATAGCTTGCACACAACTAATTATTATCAAAAAAAAGTTTCCTTGAATACGAGGTCGTTCTCCCTAACTAATGGTTAATTATTTTTTTTTTCAGTCTTGGGCAATGCACTAGTTTTTATATAAAACGTTGATAATAGTTCTCATTTTAGGGTTTTTTCCTAATTAATATTTAATCAAGAAAATAATAGCAACCAATAACTTATTAGTAACACCGAAAAAAGTTCAATTTTTTAAAGTAAAATTTTGGATTTAAATCTTATGAATAAAAAAATAAATATTAAAAAAATTCATCTTTTATAGAATTCGAGATGATTTTACTCCAAATTAATTAAGATCAAATATAATTTTCAAATACTATAAGTTAAAACTAAGGAAAAACAAAACAATAAGAATAAATTAATTTAAAAAATATATTTTATAATTTACATTATTTTAAATTATAAAATTCTAACATTTAAATAAAGAGTACAGTTATACCCACAGCACTTATTGCACTGAATAAGGTGCATATATACCAAAACTAAAATCTTAGTTTTAATTCTTGTAAACCTCTCATTCTCCTATATTCCCTCATGTTGAAAATAAAATAAATAAATAAAGAGCAGAGCTGATATTGAAACTCTCCTTCCATCTACTAAAGTTTCTATTTTAGTTTAAAATAATTTAAATGGTAAATTAAACAGCAGCTTCCATTAATTTTGACTGACCAATAATAGACATTGCCACACAGTCATGCAATTAGTGGCTGCATGTTTTCTCTATGCATTTGGACTTGGAATGAAGATAACACAATAAATCATTTTCTCATGACAAATTGGCAATCACTACCAGGACTTCTAGCAACTTAGTCTCCTAGTCCATTATGACTTCTGCTAATTCCTTGACAAGAAGTCTTTGCAAAATGCAAAATTCAGAACCACCCAAAGTTTCTCATCTTACCTACAGGAAAGAAAATTTTATAGCTCCATTCTGCTTGACCCAACTTTGAAATTGGGAGCCTCAGCATTTGCCTTTTCTAGTGTGAGCAAGAGGATTGCCTCTTCATGACTCAAGTTTTAAATTAAAACTTAATTTAACAATGCTGTTCAGTGTTACTCTATAATTGTAAATGTTAAAAGTACTGTTATATTGTTATAAAAAATATTTTAATATTTGATAATTATATTTAAAAAGAATTATCTATTATAAAATTACTCAATTTGATATATTATTATTTAAAATTAAATTAATTAATAATTTAGTATATAATATACAAAAGAGATTTGAAAATTATATTAATTTTGAATCAGATGATTTTTGCATTCCTTTCCAAAAAAGCAACGATAAACAATTCACTAAATGCATAAATTATAAAGAATTTTGTAAGTATCTATAGAAAATACTGCATACAACGTTACCAAACAAAATCTAAATGATTGGTCTTGCCATTACTGGAAATAATCCTATCTGTACCAGACATCTGGGAATGGTCATATAATAAAAATTACCACCTCTGCCCCAAAATCATAGACTGATAATAACGTTTGTCTCAAATTTATAATTTTTTTTTAATTTAAAAAAATAATTTTTTTTTAACTTTATCATTATCCACTTAACTTTAACTATTTATCTTATAAAAAAAATTTCTCGATCTTTACTGCTTTTTTTAAAACTAATATAACCATATAAATAAATACATAAATTATCAACAACTCTTTAACCCAAAATAAAATCAAAATACGAGGTCTAGTATTAAATGACACAGAAAGTAGCTTAATATACTTGATAGAGTATTAAATATTTAATAATTTTAGCTTCTTAAAAAGGTTCCTCAAGTTTATGTTTAGAATTTGACCAACAATAACAGAAACCATTACTGTTCTTTAAAAGGATGATAAAATTACTCAGGAAGCAAAGGGAAACTGTCCACAAAACAAGTACTTTACCACAATAAGAGTAGTCCAAGACAAAACTGTAATGCGTATCCATTTTGAAGGAAATTTAATGAAAAGATTGTTGAAATCTCTCACAAGTCTGGATCTAAATTCCCTACAGTCCGGATTAAACTTGTATGGAAACTCTAATCAGACAGAAAAATTGGTTCAAGCCTCTGATTTGTACACTTGAGTTTGATAACTGGGTTCCTAGGCTCACTGCAGTCCCCAAAACCTGAAAAAGGAACCTCAGAAGTCAGTATTACTTGTACTAAGGATATGGTCTAAGCAAGTGAGAGTGAAGGGGCTCATTAACAAAACTATGAAATCATAATTTGATTTTTCTAGTGAAATATCGAGCATAACGTAGCCCCATCTGTGAGTGAAAGAAAAGCTTATCGACAAACACTGTACTACATGAATTTGAAAGAGAGAAGAATCAGGGCCCAGTGAAAATTCTCATAACCATTAAATCTGACACCTTATCCTAACCGTACATATCACTCAAGAGAGTGAAGTAAATGTGCATTTAGTTTTCATTTTCTTTCAGAGTGCCAATCATGGAGAAAGCAATCCAAAAAAGATCAGACCTCAGTCATTTGCAATTCACCAATAAAAGATAAAATTTCTTAGCATTATTTATCCTGGCCCAGCTGGTGTCATCATTGGTTTTTCTCAGATGATGTTAATCCATCTTAAATCTTAGAATAAGACAAGTTCCATAACAATTCAAATAATTCAGTTGATTCCCTCCAAATAACAGACGACTCAGATACCAGCATAGATATGAGCCAAATGCAGAGGAAAAAGTCTAGTACCTGGCATTTTCTCCAAAATATCAGAGCTCCTAACCAAGCCTGAACCAGTTTTATCTTATTAGAGTACAAACAAGACAATTGACGCTTTAACCATCAGCGATACCTGCCTTTCAAAATCACATCAGTTATACATGATTAATTTGTAGCAAATGGAAAGGGGAAACAATGACATTCAGAGAGATACATACCAGTTGACTAGGAAAACATCTTACGGTATCGCCTCCTTTCCTCATCACGTCTATTGTTTATCTGCACAATTCTAATGGTTCAGATTCAATGCAATCCCTTTTTAACACATTTCATTGTCAAATGTTATAAAGATTTCAATTCATCTACCAACCTTCTTCATGGCAGCAGCAAGCTCTTTCTTTATTCCACCTGAAATGTGGAAAATATGAAGAAAATTATCAGTAAGATGGTTACTTTCCAAGTAAGAAACTCCCAAACACTGAAAAATAAACTCCAAGTCCAAAACTTCTATATCAGGGAAGTATACAGCATTAATTACAGAGTACATTGACAGCAGGCAACCCAAAGTTTATCACTAACCATCATTTGGCTCCAACTGCAATGCTTTCTTGAAGCTTTCAACCGCAGCATCAACATCATTAAGAGCCATGTGTGCCTGCCATAACAATTAGAAGAAACATCTACTTAGACTAAATAGAAAGATGATTGTAAGCACACTGGCAAAGATAGAAAAACAGTCTCCTACTAGCAAAAACCTCAAAAATGAAAATCCAAGTGGGAAACTTGAAACTGCAAAAACAAAAGAATTTAGATGGACAGAACGCAGCGGTAGGCATCTCCACAATCCCTCAATGGGCCAGTTCAGAGCCGCAGACCAAAACAACTAGAAGCTATAATAACACAAGTGATTAAAATCAGCCTACATGGAAAATATTAAATAACCTGCCCTTGACGAAATAAAGCTTTTGCATTGTTGTCTCCATCACGCATTGCAAATTCTGTGTCCAACAGTGCTCCTTTCAGATCACCTAATTTCAGTTTGCAGGCCTATAGCCACAGAGACACCAAATATTAACATCAGCACTCAAAATGAGTGGGACCTAAATCAAGTTATAAAATAAAAATAATATATAAAAAACTGAAAAAAGATGCAAATTCACAGCACAGTAAATAGGTGAAGAATACAAATCAGTGTTTTATACTTCACCAGACATAAGATAATCATCTCATTGCTATTAAGCACAAATCAAATCAAATATGCAAGTCATCTTCTAAAAGGGTGAGACTTGTTATCTGGTTTTGTCACCCTTCATATGGGTTCACTTGTCATGGCACAGGTCATGCTGTGAGCCAGTGCCAACATAGCCAAAAATAGAAATCAAGAGATTAAACAGACACCATCTTTTAATTTATCATTGCATGGTTTATTTTGAAAAGTTATTTCTAATTTGCAATATCTATGGTGATTTAGTTTTTTTTTTTTTTTAAACAAAAAAATCTAAAATCTCAACATCAATACAATCGATAGGTGATTCTGGTAACTTACAGAACTGTTAGTAAATATCTGTGATTTGGTCTTTCTCAATGCTGTGCTCTTCTCTGCAAAGCAAAACAGTAAACAAGGTAAACTAAATGTTATAAATTAATATAACATCATACAATCTATTTAATGAAGGGGAAAAAAATAGAAAAAGATATTTCACCTTCATCAATTCCTTCTTTCTCCCAGCAGATATCTAAATACCGTAGGGCTTTCCTGTACTTTCTAAGAGCCATCTTGTAGTCTTGTTTCTGTTAGAAAAACATTAATACAGATGACACTTTATAAGTAAAATGAAGAGTGCAAAAGGAAAAGGAAGAAAGCAGTATCCTAGAAACAAAGATCCAAAAGATCTTGAATTATAAGTCTCTTATTCTTTTCTACTATAAAAGTCTTTGTTTATTACCTTGTAGTGCTCATTTCCAAAAGACTTAACAGAATCCACAGCATTAACCCACCAAGAGAGCTCATTAGGACTTTCATCAAGATCAGCTGGCCAATCAGGATAAATATCACCATCTTTGAAAAAGTTAGAGATCCCATCATCTTCTCCTTCAGGAATTTCTCCACAATCCGCAACAGTAACATCTACAGTTGGACAGTCAGCTTCACCAGTGCTTACATGTTCAATTGAACGAACAACACCCATCCCTTTGACAACCTTGCCAAATACAACATGTTTTCCATCTAAATGAGAAGTACGAGTTGTGGTGACGAAGAACTGAGACCCATTTGTGTTAGGCCCAGAATTCGCCATAGACAACATCCCTTTCCTTTCATGCTTCAACTCAAAATTTTCATCTTCAAATTTCAATCCATAAATTGATTCTCCTCCAGTACCATCTCCTGCAGATATATCTCCACCTTGTACCATAAAGCCCTTAATGACTCTATGAAAACGAACTCCCTGAAATGGAAATATAAATAGCAATTTCATGCAATGGACACAGACCATTAAAAACCCAACAAAATGAATTTATAACCTCTAAGATAATCAGTAACACACAATGTATGAAAGTGTAAAAAACAATAAAAAGCAGTTTAGATTGCCAAATCGTTTAACCCGACATCACTTTATAAATAATCCCTTATCAAATCCAAGGAGCAATATGGATCAAATACAACAGGGCCCATATAAGAATGTGCACAAATCACATAAAAACAGCAAATCAATCTCTTATCTACCATCAATACACAAGTATTTCCAAGCAATAAATTCCACCATAACAGCCTCAAAGTTTTTCTTTTTATGGTAACCCAGATTCACAGATATCATATCCTGCAATTTGCATAACACATAC